GTTCAGGGAGTAAAAGGTAAAAGAGCAAAATAAGTTTTATTGTTTAGTTGGTAAAACTGTTTTTAATTATTTTACTATATGATAAATAGTAATATAAATTATAATCAGCACGTTTTTATATTTCAATTTGAGTAGACTTACATCAAACCACTGCATAATTACAAAGCAAACCTCTCAGCTTCACTCACGCTTGTAGTCAATGCTCAACTTAACACAAATATGATATAAATTGCGAAGTTTGATTTTTAAATTGGTGTTAGTGTTTCTGTTGGCAACCATTTTAGCAATTGCTGGCTAATTTTTTTAGTAAATAAAATAGACTTTTGAATGCTATATAGTAATTACTGATATTATATTATACCGGTTAAAGTTCAGACAACAGAAGAAACAGTTCTTTTCATGTTTTCACTTTATTTAGATATTATATGCAATGTCTATCTAATCTAGTATATCTATCTAGAATATGCAATATCTATCTAATATAGGTCGTAATACGTCATACTTGAGTATGACGTATGTAATCATATGAACGTCGATTAAGCAATGTGGTTCTATATCAGTTGAATACTGAAAAGAAATACTATAGTTAAAATGGTAAGTATCAGCGGCAGTCCCAACCCCTGTGGTCTCTGAAAAATCAATAATATTAGTGTTGAGTGCTGTGACTGTAAGTAAAGATAGACATTTATGGAGCAGGTGAACGCTACTTTACTTCAAGTCAAGTCCTTAGTGAGTCTCTGTGTGAGAAACTAAAGCAGATAAATACTTTCTGGTGAATGTTTGGCACTGTTAAAATAGATGTGTGACACTATTTTTGCCAAATAAATCAAATTTTTAAGGAAGCCTTCTATGAAAAGTTGTAAGAGCAATGGTTTCATACCTTCAAAATAGTTTTATTATTATGTATGACAATCTTTTTACGAAGATTACATTTTTACGAAGTTTCTTTTGAGATATGTACGCCCGGAGACGCATTAAAATAATAAAAACTGCATTATATATTTTAAAAATCAGCCAAAAAGTTTTTCTTTTAAAAAATCTTTAAAATAATCTTTATGAACTGCTCTGCGTAAGCTGCTTTTCAAAAATCATTTCAATAAAATGTATTAATCTGCACTGATTTATATGACAAACGCACATTTTTATATAATTTTCCTCAAGTTTCTGATAACCATTAAAATCGATGAAATTCATACAACGAGTGTAGGAGTATATCTCATTCTGCAAATAATTGAACATCTTCTGGCTTTAGTTGAGCTTTTACGGGTGCATTTAAGAATCATTTTGCATTTTGCGTGCAACTACCGACAGACTTTTATGCATTCAACTGTCATTTGTTGTCATCATTCGGAACTGAATGAGGCAAGGCTCTTGCAGCATCAAAGGGATTTCAATCAAGGGATCAACTGTGTATGCACTGCTGCAACAGCAGAAATGTATCTGCTACATTGACAACAATCTTTCCATAACTTTTTCCTTTTTTGTACTGTTTTTGATGTCGTTGGCTTTGTGTTAACGTAATTGGGGGAGCACATTTCATAGGGAATGAATTTTATAAAAATACATCTTTTTCGTCCTTTATTCAATGATTTTTTTCTGTGTATTTATTTTACTTGCACAGCACAAAAATCATAAATTTTTATGAATTCTGCTGCATCAGCAACGTAAATGCACACTTTTATGAAAATTTCTATGGGGGCGCATAATCAGGGCAAAGCAAAAAGGAACGAAATGATTAAAAAGAGTTTTAAGCACTTACAGAACTGCTCTGCTTTCTAGGTCTTTAAGCATTTTATTCGTTTTTAATTTGCAATCCTCAACTCTTATGTGATTGACAAAAAATAATGCATAAAACATTTTTGTTATTTGATTAAAGAATTGGAGCCGAGAGTATTTACTAGTTGTACATATATTCAAATTTTTATAGACTTTATAAAATATTTATAATTATTATGACCTAATTGAATAAGATAGTATTTAATTAGGTAAGTAAGTAAAATGCATTCATTGTTTAGTAATATGATATAAAAATATCGAAAATAAATTTTTTTACTTATTTTAAAACAAAGATAATAATCTATGTTTAATCTTTTGAGAACATCACAGATTGGATAATAAAGGAAGGAACAGACTGAGAAAGAACAACTAAGCAGCAATACGGTATATTGCAGTATACTGAAATATATGAAATACAGTATATATACTCTAAAAAGTATATATATAACTGACTCAGAATGTACTCCTTATTGTGGTGGAAATAGCTTCGACCATTACAAAATGGTCTTTCAAATTTACCGATATTCAGATAAATTTACCGATATAACAATAGTAAATAATCAAAAACATAGGGAAAATGACCCCGTCCCTATATCCTATATTGCCTACATATATGAACGCAATAATTGTGAATTGTTACAGGGTGATTTCTTCCGAAATGCATATTCTTTATAAGGTGCTTTTTTTGATAAAGAGACATGACAATATATCATGCGAAAGAACGTGCGGAAAATAAATCACAAGTATATGCGTTAAAAACGGTGTATAGTAAAATAAAAATTGCTTGCCTGTTTTTATTATTATTATTATTAAATATGGGCTAAGAATACACCCCGAACTAAAAGATCTCTAATCGCGCCTAAAAACCCAACTAAAACAATTCTAAACTATTTATGAATCTCGTAATTACTGTGGACTGAATTCTACAATTTTGATTGCAGACCAAGTTCCCGCTTCCAAACTAATCAAGTCTACGTCTTGCTGCCGATGAACAGTTATATAGAACATATTCGCATGTTTCCTGCTCCTCATGACAGAGCCAACAGGATTCACTTTCTATCGCACCTATCTTCTTCATGTGATAATTGCACCTATAGCGTCTTGTATGTAAAAAGTACAGTGTAGATTTAATATAATTTCTGCTTAGGATAAGAATAGTGTCAACTGTGATGTGTTCACGATCAATGAATCTTCTTCACCCTAACTATTCCTTACCTAAAAGTATTCTTATATTATTACAAAGTTCTTAATATACGAGAAAAAAGAAAATATTTTATAAAAAAACGTATGGTAAGTGATCCCACCTTGACAAAAAACTGGTTATTAATCTGGTAAAATATCTAAACTGTTTTCGTAACTGTTATAAATTAATCTCGAGTGTTATACATTTTGCCTGATAGCAACCAATTGAAACTTAAAACTGTACTAAAAGTACTAAAGTACTAAAAGTAAATGTAGTGTGAGAAACTTCTTCGAGATTCACCAATCGGAAAGGACATTAAATAAAGAGAGAAAATAAAAATATAAATTGAACCATGTAAATAGTGTATATATCTAAAAGAGTCTATCATGATTTGTAAGATAAAATAGTTAAGAGAGGTGATAAAAATTAAATAGTTTCAATATATTGTTAATATGTATTTTATAACTATGCAGAAACGGGATTGCTCAGAAATAGTAGTGTCATTCCAAATATCGTAATTAGTCTTAATCAGGTTCATCTATCACACAAACCTCCATCCATGTCCATCCATAATCACACAAAAACTATATATGCCTTTAGATTTACATTTTCATACTTAAACTACAATAAATATTAATTTTATTTATTTATGTTAAAATCCTTTGTCAACCCTGAAGGCCCACAATGAGCTAAAAAGCGAATTTGTGAGACGATTTTGCTTCCGACATGCATTTCAGTATTTATCTGAGTTTCGGTATTTGTTTGTTGATAAAGATTTGTTGCGTTCATGTTGACAATGATTTACATAATCCACATTAAACGTTGACAACCTCTTTTCCCTTGTCATTGTCTTGTACTTGTTCCACTTTTTTTTTATTATTTTTGCATTTAAGGCAATGACCAAGTTAAAATGTTTACGGAAACGTGCTGGTTTCGGCTGCTGAATTCTTAATGACCCCACTTCGGTCTGAAATCATTCGGTCTTGATACATTGTAAATGATTTCAGGCTTTCATGTATTGTAGAATGCGAGTTCTCTTCAACATTGTTTTGTTAACATTTAAGGATGCGAAATAATGATGTGAATTCATTTACTTTGACTTGCTTTAAGAATAATGAGCATTTAATTTGTATAAGTAATGCAAATTTATATATTCTTTAGTTATGTAGTAATATTACAGCAGAAAAAAATTGACTAATTGGTTCATAATAATTAAAAGACTATTACAGAATAATATGAGATTTAACAGATGAGTTTAGGTAATTTCAAATGGAGCATTTAAATCCACGTCGTAGTGACAATCAAATGGCCAAGTAACTGAAAATATCTCACCGAAAGACCCGAGGCCTGTTCCAAAATGATGGTAAAGTTTAAAGTTAAGCCCTACAAGTTGCAAAAGGAACAAGATGTTACACCAAAGCAACAAAACGCTCTGCCGAAAATTTGAGACTACGAATGGCCACCTCAAAATCACTCTAAGTAATTTTCCATCACAAATAATGATATGGCCAGCTGTGAAGCCGATAGACGCTGGTAAATCGTTTTGATCGAACCTTGTGTCAAAGTCAATACGACTTATTATCGGGAAAATGTTTTGGAAGTTGTGTTAGAGTCATAGGCACGCAAACATTTCAGTCGTACGCCACGTATAATCCAACAAGACTCGGCTCCGGTCTCGGTCTCATAAAGGTCATGTGAACCAAGAATGGTTAAAAAATCATGTTCCACACTTTCTTTCGTCCACACAATGGCTTTCGAATTAGCCATATGCTAATCCGATGGACTATGGATCTGGGCCATTTTGGAATAGTAAGCAAGGTGAGCCAATAAGCCAAAATACCGAAAGATCATATACGTGAAACATGCAACTCATTTTTTAACCGTTATGAAGGTCATAGTCAACGCAAAAGGTGGCCAAATCGGGATAGAGTGAATGGATTCTGAAAGTTTGATTATTTACACAAATTTTTGTAATTTAAATCAATAAAAAATAATTTCACAAAAAAAGGTATGGATAGGGCTTGAATAGGGCACATTTCAATTGCCTAACCTGTATTAATTGCTTTTATAAAATCAGTGATGGTTTATGACGTTTTAATACATCTACTTTATTTATAATTTGAATTATGCAATTTTATTAAATAAGCATAAAATTAAATTATGTGTAGAAATCAACCATATACGCAAAATTGAATAACAATGCAAATGGAATTAAAATTAAAATGAAATTTCAAATCCATCTAAACAAAGCAAAAGCTGACAAAACCCCATTTATATCCGGAGGCGTTGGTACATGAGATTGTTGAGCAGAAGCAAATAGTAAATCCGGTACTCAAATAATGACATTTAAATAAAGGAAAAGTAAATACTGCACACAAAGTGTGCTTAAGCCCACGGACACTCCATCACATGTTTAATGCTAATGACCCAGGCACGGCATATTAAAACCATGGCGGATCCATTCAAAACGGTTGTTGCAGTTTTTAATTTATTCCTTCCTAGCGGCGGTTGCAGCGGTGGGGAGTTTTTATTGCAATGATTGAAGTTTTTACCTAAAATGGTTAGTGTTTTGTTGCATCGAGAAACTTTAAAGTATGAAATAATTTGAAACGTCTACTATTTATTTATTGAAATTATTCTGAGTTAAATTTTTAAGATAAAATATCAAAAAATATGCTATGTATAATGTATTTCATAATAATTAAGATTTTATAAGATCATTTAAAATACAATAGAAATCGAAAGTCTTTAAAAAAGATGCATTATTGAAATACCTATCAATATACAGTCAGATTATTATAGATTTTAGGATTAATAGCAATTACAAAACGACCAACTGTTTTGAAACCAATTATAACTTTTGAATATACCTCTATTCGTTGGAGACTACCATGTGAGGTACACGGATAGCTCCAAATGGATGAAAGAAGTGGGAGCGGGAGTATATGGGGTTAAACCATAAAAATATTTGTAAAAATGAGTCAAAAACACTCAGTTTTTCAGCCCGAAGTACACGCAATAGAACTATATCTTAAGGAATATAAACAGAAACCCGTCACGGGAAAAAACATATCTATTTTCTCTGATAGTAAATTAGCACTCCTAGCACTACGCTCACCTCGAGTGACCTCAAAACTACTGTGGAAATACCTTTTACTTCTCAAAGAGCTTGCTGAAAGGAACAGGGTTCAGTTAGTATGGATCCCTGGGCACAGCGGATTTGAGGAAAACGAAAAACTAGTGGGATACCCTCATATTATATTGGGCCACAACTATTCTGCGGTCCTTCATAGAGTTTTTTCAAACTTAAAATTATTGAGTGACTGGAAAGCGCAACTCAGATTGATTGGGATAATACAATTGCCTGCAAACAAACTATGGAATCCATGCCGTATCGATCAAAAGCCAGAATTAGGGAGTTACTTATGCTGAACAGAAGTGGCATCCGACTTGTCACAAGGTTTCTCACTGGGCATTGCGGAATTAAAAAGCATCTATCGAACGTAGGTATAAGTGGAGACGAAGGCTGCAGACTTTGGAAGAGGAAACAGCAGCGCTATGATACTCTTGCCAGACTTAGACTTCGGCACTTCGGTACACTGCCTATCCACTTATAACGAAATGAGGCAAATTCTCTCCAAAGGACATAATGGCGTTCTTAACTGCTACTAGTCTGTGGAACTAAAGTGGGTTTGTCACAATTATTCTTAAAGAATGCAGTGACGTAGTGACAAGTTCCCAACCCCTTTTAAAATCTAATCTAATCCGATAGTATTTGAGCAGAACTACATCATTATCCTAGATTTTATATTATTAATGAAAATAGCACACATTTACTATTAGTTTCGATATTAAAAAAAATTCAAAACACCACTTGGATCGAAGACTTAGTTTAAAATGGTGTGCATTGATTGTGTTTAGAGATGACGAAAACTTCGAAAACAATTGCTTAGGTTCATCAACTTCAGCTGATTAACAACTTATCAAGGAAATCAAAGATTTTGTGCTCAAAAATTGTCGTCATCAACTTTTGCTAAAAGTCCATCGCGCTGAAGTTTGGCAAAGTATGTATACCTTCTAACTTTCACAATAAAATTAAGTACATTGTAAATTTTTATAATTATTCAAAATTTTTATTTATTATTAGTACACTAACTTACAAGACCAACAATGCCAACAGTCTTTGACGAACGAAAAGTGCAATTCTGCTCTTCTTGTTGGTCATTGCACTGAAGAAAGTTTAATATTTAATATTTTGGCTTATAATTATATCAGCACAGATTTAGCACAAAATGGAGAAGTGGTTTGAAAGAATATTGTGCAGTAGTCACACTAAACGCGAAGCACGCATTCAACCGCAGTACTGACGACAACAAGGAAGAGAAGGGAACCCTTTGCATTCCAATGCGAAGGTATCGTCAAACCCACGAAACCTGAGCTAAGATACATTAAGTTATTTTGGACAGTTATTTTGGACGTTTCTGACAAAAGAGTAGTTTAAGTGTATCAGTTTTGTTGTTGCCGGGGCGAATTTTGGTGAGTTATTAATATATACTTAATATATTTAATATACTTAATTTCTTAAATATTATATAAACAATCTTTTTTATAGGAGTTTTTGGCCTTAATATTCAATTCATTTAAGTGAGATTTGCTTTTAATCTTCAACCGAGTTGTGTTCGTGTTGAAGCCTATAAGCAACATAAACTTAGAGTCGCTGAGATTATAAACTTGCACATTGTGTATCATTTTGAATACAAGTTTCTTAATATTTATATTTTTGATTTATTTATTTTTAATTATTGCATATCCTGCCAGAGTTTTTTAAACTTTTTCGTTGAAATAAGATATCCATATATATAATAAAAAAGAAAAACATATATAACACATGAAAGATTAGCAAATTAATGTATTTGTGAAGCATCACAATGAAGCACTTGATCGTACTTCCAATGCTGCAATTCAAAATAGAGCACATTTAATATCCTCGCTTTTAAAATAGTTACACAAGATTAAACTAATTATTCTTAAAAGCTTTAATAAAAAATCCGGTCAATAAACTATATCGAAAATTAGAACTTAATTCTTGACTGAGTACTTCATATATGCACTACAAACGTGAGTAAACTGCGTCAACTGCAACATTTATTGTGAGCACTTAATGTAAAAACCTATTGTGAACAGCTCATATTAAAAGCTATTGTGAATAGCTTATAGTTGAAAACATAGTTTTTTGACAACTGTCATTGAAAAATAAAGAAATACAAAACTTTGTGTAAGATGGACAGACCGGGCTGTTCAAAAGATTTTAAACAATCCGAAAAATCTGTTGTAGAAAAGTCAACGTATGTATATTTGTGAATATTAGTGATAAAATAGACTTTTATCATATTATATGTGTATTTATTAAATGTAGAAGTAAGAAGGTACCTAATGCTGGTGGCAATGCAAACCAATATAGCGCATCCAATAATCGCTCATTGGAATCTAAGTACGTATTTCTATAATATATTTAATATATTAAACCACAAGTTTTACAATGAGATTTCAAGAAATAATATAACACGAGTAGAATTTATAATATATTTCACATTTTTATTCAAATCTAATTTACTATTTTAACGAAGATACTGGCAGGAATGGGGAAGCTATGTTTCCAAATATTGTGATAACATATTAAGTAAAATTGTGAAGCATATGCGGGAACGATATAGAGGTGGCATAGATCTAAAATTGAGTTTACAAGAAATTCTAACTGAAACCGATCAACTAGATATTGACAATTCTGTTATGGAGGTAAAAACTTACTGGTTAATGCATATTGGTTAATGATTACATATTATTTCTAATACAGTGGCTAGCAAGCGAGGCTCTTGTAAATAACCCAAAAATTGATATAAGCGCTGACAAGAAAAAGTTCTCCTTTAAGCCAACCTACAATGTACGTGATGGTAATTCGCTAATGCATTTATTAATGTGGCATCGTACTAAAGGTTTGGGTGGAGTACTTTTGGATGATGTCAAGGAGTCATTGCCAAACATTAATATGGTTCTTAGGGCATATGCGAAATATGTAATTATCGTAACTCGTCCCATTGAGAAGAAAAAATTCCTTTTCTTCAACGATCGTTTTGCTGATGATATGACTGTAAGTGTTTTATTGTGATCAATAACTAATATTGTAAATATATAATTTATTTATTTGTGTGACTTTAAAAAGGTTGACGAAGGTATTCAAAAGATGTGGCGTAGGATGAATGGTGATGGCATTGAAAATTTACAAACTGATACAAATGTAGAAGAGGCGGGTGAGCACAGACATTTATTGTACTTAATGAGAATTGCTCGTTTAGTACTAATCGCTTATAATTTTTTACAGGTATTTCTTGTTTAGGAAGTTTAATCCAAAAAACGCATGACGAAATGAAAAGAAAAATCCCTGCCAAAACATATCAGTGGAAGAAACGTGTTGTTAATGAGCATGTCCAAGATATTTTAGAAACATATAAAGACGACACTATTGACGAAAAAGGTATACAACATTGTAGTTCTCTTTAAACTATTATAGTAGAACAGAACATTCTTGAAATTAGTGCCTAACAATAATTATAATTTGAATTAATTGAACATTAAATGTCTTTTGTATTTCAGAAATGGAATTGGAAAATATTCCCACAGGTTAAACTCCAGATACACAATCAAATACACGAACCTATTTAGATAAGTAGAGGATTATTAAAGTCTCTATAAGAATAAAGAATTATTTTTACTAAAACTTATTCTGTATAAATTATGCTAAATCAACAAACAATAAAGGTTTTGCATGGACCTTTAAAAATATAGAGTAAAATACAATAATCATAAGAATGTTCTTTTTCTTTACAAAATTGTCTAAATTCATATTGAAAGAAGATATATACCTAATGAAGTACGGGAGGAACGTATTCTTGATAATAAATCGAATATGTATATGGATAGAATTAGAGGCTGATGAATGGTAAGTAAGATCTGATATAGCAAATTTTGTAACGATTATAAGTTAGTCAGGATCCACTACAGCTTATTTAATCCAAGATATAATTACCTACCGAAGCAAATGAGTCCATGTTACAATGATCGTCATCCGGAAGCTTAAGCCGCCTTATAATATATAACACTTTTTAATTAATCAATATCATTTATATATTACAATCAATTTATGAACTGCATTATATTGTGAGAATATATATATTTATATATATACTACTGTAATAATTATGTGTAATTTTAGATGTTGAGCTTTATATATTTTGAAGTGTAATATTGTCACAGCGTTACAGAATACTTTGAGTAAGGCAATTACGACAGCTTTCTGGAGTTGGGATGTCTTATAAAGACTATCTTTAAAGTAAAAGTAAAAACTAATTTATTCAAGAAGAAGAATATGATATATGTATTAAGATTTTAACCAAATGGTATACAATGGTCAATAATAGAAAAATGTACACAAAAATTTATTAGAATAAAACCATAGCATTTGACTAGATTTATTTTCCAGACATGAAGATGAGGTAAGTCTCTGACTGTGACCATGATTGAATTACAACAGCTCTTAGAAAACATACCATTTGAAAAAGCTTAAACTAAATATAAGTAATATTGTGATTAAATAAATTGAATAATCGAATTCAATTGATTAAATTTTTTATTTTCGTTCGAATTTTTTTAACTGTTCTTCTCTTCCTATACTATACTTAAACCCATGATTTCTTTGATTCTGATATGCCTGAAGCATGTTCCTCTAGCATATACGTAAAGCTGTAAGTCACATGGTGTTAAATCTGATGATACGATATAAGTTGAATTTTTGAGGAGATATCTTGGGATCCTGCCTCATGTTTTGTGCATTTAGAAAATGTGTATCTATAATTATTATGTACTTCATCTTATTCTGAGGAAAGGCGTTAGTTAGTACTGAATTAAAACAATAAATTGACTTTAAAATTATAAGTAAATAATAATAATATATACTTTTACATACATTTCCGAAATTCAGACATTTTCTTAGCTTCTCTAAAAGTTTTAAATAGTATTTAATTTTATTTTATTATTAAATACATTTTAAAAATTAAATGTGTAGTATATTTTGTAATTTAATAGATTTATAAATAAAATTCTATGCTTTCTTTTAACATAAGTCAATCTCAACCACTCAGCACACTGTAAATAGGTTTCATTTTCAATTCAATTTGCTCCGTTTTTAATGAAAATGGATCCTTCGCGTAAACCGAGGACTTCTTATATTTACTTTCTGTTTCTTTGTGCAAATCTATGTTAATTAAAATGTTATGTTAACTCTTATTTAAAATTATTATATATATATATATAATCATGTACATATATCTTCGTATTCTTTCGCAACCGTTTGAAAGTACTTTCTATAAATTACAAAGTTGCCAACTAGCAAAAGTAAAATCCTTTGAAAAATGCCATTTGCAATGTTTTAAACAGAAATTTAACAACTTCAATCTAACAGTCAAGTACTTGTCATTCCGCTGTTAAAGTAACTTTGAATGTGGTTTAAAAAAAACATAAAATTCAACCCAAAACTCTAACATGAGTAACTACAATAGATAAGAACTGTTTAAAAAGGATTAATTACAAATTGCCTCGATGCATAAGTTCTGCAATCCAAAAGGACGAAAAAATTTGTACGCGACTTGGCAACTGTTCACATTGAATTGCGCTTCTGAACTCATGTCAAATGTCAGTTGCATTTATGAAAATGTCAAAATAATTGCAACTTCTTAATTTTTGGGAAACCGCTTAAAATCGAAATTGCTTTTTAGTTTTAATGAAAACTGCATTGGATAAGTCAAATAATTTTTTTAGTTTTTAATAATATAATTTATTTTTTTTGGAAAAAGGTTTTAGGGAGAAGTAACTGTAGACGTAGTAGCAACATAAGAATAATGAGGTGCAATACTGGTAGCAATAAAAGTATTTAGTAATAAAACATAATAGTAATAAAGGACAAGAAAAATGTGTGATCCTTTATATCATTTACTAATCACTATACATACGAGAAAATGTCTATAATAAAGTATTATTTAAGAATAATGGACTTAATCCAACAAATTTTTAATTCATGTATAATTTATCCAACCTTTCTATATAACCACATCTGATACGGCTTCAAAGTGTTTCAATTTTAAATATTTACCTTTTCAAATAGAAAATAAAATAAGTACAAGGGGCCAAATTCAACAAAAATACTAGATAAGAAAATGTCCAGAAAATATTATCAGGACAAAATGATTCAGTTCATTGTTAATAATAAAAATGAAACGTTTTGATGGCTTTGTCTTGTAAGCAGCAACGAGTGCTTACCATTATGATTTATACTGCCTGTATACCAGAGATATAATATATATTTTACAATCATAACACTATCACGCTGGTGGTACATGATGAGAAAACGCAATATCAGTCTTAATGAAATTTGTTTATATTTATTTCCTTATTCAAAATTAAGATCACTATTCCATATGATCCATACAAGAATAAGAAGCTTCATAATTTTTATTCGTCGATCAATCAATGTAATATGGTGAACAACGACGATGGTTTCTAGAACATCAACCTGACTCATCATCAGTCAAAGCAAAATAAAAAAGGTATAAATGATTTTAAACTCCTCCTTCTCTTATCACCGCAGCTTCTGCATTAGTCTTTCAGGGTTATACCTATTCTGAAAGTAAATCAACTTTAGGTATTCTGATTATAAATCCTTGTATTGAACAAGTCTCTGTCATTTGTTTTTGTCCCATTTCGACCAAATGAATTTTGTGTGTGAATATATTATTTCTCGATTATATAGGTAGTTCATGTTTTCGTTTAGTAATATTTATCTGATTATAAGTTCACAGGCCGTCAGCTCTGCTTTGATTACTTTCGTTTTTATTTTATTTTTTCACTTGTTAAGTTTTCAACATTAAATAAAGAACTCCAGAACTATGATTGAACTCCATTTAAAATTTGCTAAAAATGTTATTTATGAAATCCAACATTATATACCACTACAAAAACCTGATCGTTTTGGTATAATCGTCATCTGATTCTACCTGCCTACTAGTTTTTTTAACAAAAACGAACAAATTTATTAAGCAGTACCCACGTTTCATTTTTATTGAAAAATCCATTAACTAGTGAAGAATGAAGAATGAAGGTAGTAGGACGCTAGGAATAGCAAGAAAAATCAGTGACAAAAATTGTTCATATAAGGAAAAATTTGGAAAAATGTTACGATAAATTTGGGAATTATAATGCAGCTGAACTATAATTATAAGTCCTATGTATATTATCTGTACAATACAGAAAAAATGAAAGCTGTACGTGCATAACCATACTGTGACCTAAAAAGGAGTTAACATTTCCCTTATCATTAAAAGTGGGTAGAAAACTCAAGAGAGATTATACTACAAACACTTATCGGTTTACGAGTACAACATTCTAAATCGCTTACAAAAACCTACAAGTTAAGTTGATATAAGAATTGTCTGAACATAACAAAAAACTATTTGAAAATTATAATAACTACTCTGAGAAGACCTCTTAATTTGAACTACTATCTAAATAACACAGGATCCATCTGTATTACCGTCTGCTCATTCTACAAAAAGAAGGAGTAAAGCATGAATCAAGGAAAAGACTCTGCGCTGATGCATAAAAGAAAAATAATTTTTAATGGGAACTCAACATCTAATAATGAATTGGATTTTAAAGGAAATCTCAAATACTACGAATTATTAAAGATGAAATAGAAATCAATAAAAATACTGAGTCACTCT